CCCACCACGGCACCCCGCGCCTGCCTTAAAACGAGCTCTCTCTCTCCTTGGTCCTCCCTGGAATTACACTTAAAGCTCAGCCCCAGTGGCTCGTCGGGCGAGAAGTCTAATTGGAAGGTGGTGTTAGTTTAGCAACTCCAAGAGCTCTTTTCAAAATTTAGTCTGACCTTCCAGCTACCTCCATCGTATCATAGTTTAACAGTCACGCTCAGCATACATTCCTCTCAATCTGCACTGTGGACATTAGTACTGAGGTGCCGCCAGATCTGAAAAAGTTTCTTAGGTCCTTCCGGACCTAGAATGAAAAATACAGGGTCTATGAAAAGAAACATCCTAAATCGATCCCAACCCTGGGTGTCCAAAAGGATCCCAGTCTCGTTCAACTTGTTTGTGATGGGCTGAAGAAGCCCGCCCCAACTTTCCACGTTCCGACGAGGCGTTTGAGGCCAGGAAGCCCCCTCGCTTTCTAGGCATCCACGCCCAACCCTGAGACACGAACGGGGAGGGCCAGTGAGCAGGTCCCGCCGGCCCTCTCGAGGTTTCAAGATCTCTGTGCTCCTGCCAGACCCTCCAGCCCGTGCGTTCTACTTAGACGTTTCATTACATAACCCGCGCTCCACAGTCACCCACGGAGTCACGGGGGCCCCGGCTGTCCCACGTCTCGCACACTCCCCCGAGGAAGAGCGGCCGGCTGTCGACCCTGCTAGCAGCGTGGCCCCTCTACCCCGCGCAGCGACCCCGACCCACGCGTCCGCGCCTCCCCCAGGCAGGGCCCCGGCGAGCTCGGAGCCCCGCCCGGCCCCCGACCCCTCGGACCGGCTGGCCGGGTCTCTCTCCGAAAGCTGGCCCCCCGAGATCTGCCCTCTCGAGGTCCCCTTCACGCCCAGACTTTCTTCTCCGACCCCATCGGACTTGCTGTCCCTGCCGCTCTCGGGGACTCCCCTCAAACTCGCTGTCCAGCCGCTCTCGGGGACCCTCCCTCACACCTGTCCCGGCCCCTCTAGGAAACTCCCCTCAGACGTGCTGTCCCTCTCTCTCTCGGGGTCCCTTCTTTTCAGACACGCTGTCCAGGAACCCCTCAGGGTTCGCTCTCTTGGAGCCGCTGTCCCGGACCCTCTCGGCGCCCCCTCTGAGACATACTGTCCCCCTGTTCCTCTTAAGGTTTCCCCTTAGCCCTTCTGCCCCAGGTCTTCTGGGGGTCTGCTCTCCACAGTCCAGATTGTCAAACCCGTTCCCGGAACTCCCCTCACTCCTCGCCGATCTCAAACCGCCCAAGGTCCCCTCGCCTAGGCTCACGCTGTCACAGTCCCGCACCCTGGTGCTCTCACCTCAGACCTGCTGTCACCACCCCGGCCCGGCGTCGCCACCGCCGCTTCCTCTCCCACACTTGTTCCCGAGTCGCTCTTCGGTCGCTCGTCCTCCGGAGGATCCCTAAGTCCGGTCGCTGAGTGCCCAGGCCGGCCTCGCGGAGCCCCCACCCGCGATCTCTGTGTCGCGTCCCACTCTCTCAAGCAGGACCCCACTGCCGCCGCCGCCACCACCACAGCCGGGCGCCACAGAGACCCTCCCGCGACCGCCGCTTGCTGCTGTCCGAGGTGCGGCTCTTGCCAGGGGTGGCCAATCGCACCCGACTGGGCCGAGCGTGCTCCGCCCCACGGTTTCAGTCCGCCCGCCCCCCGCCTCGGACCACGCCCCCAGCTCGACTCTGATAGGCTCTCTACTGACGTGCCTTGATCGCGGGGCACAAGCCTGTGCCCGGATATAGGTACTTGATTGAAGGAGCCTGAGAAGCCGAGCTGTCGATGGCGCCTGAGGATTGGTGGAGTTGACGGTGGGCGGGATGAAATGGGGCGGGTTTTTTTTCGGACACGGAAGACCTTGCAACTTTAGTTACCCAAGGGCCAGCATGGGGTGCGGTCATTCTTGTTTGTGCTGCGCTGTGGTCAAAGTTCATGGCAGTCTTCCCTGCTCCTTTACTTTTCTTGGGAAACTCCCAGAGTCTAGAGCCCCCTGGGACTCCCCTGGACCACCATGTTAGAGGCTTTGAGGAGGACCCCATTCTCTCGCCAGACCTTGCACAGCTTTCTAAGTAATTCTGCTAGAAAGTAATATAGCACTTATTCACTCAGTACTTGTTAATATTTTATGAATTGAACTTTTTGTAGCTTTTTCAAGGGAGTTGCCCTACGTTGTATTCCGTTCAAAAGATGTCAGTTTAATAATGAATGCTCTCGGGAGAAATCTGTATACTAGATGCACGCTCTGCACAACTAATCAACACTGGTGGGGCACATTTTGATAGGTGCAAGGACAGAGCTTTAGAAATAACCAGTTTGTGGACTTTGATAAATATTACAGGTGGAACAGGAACTGTGTGGCAGGGGAAACTGTATTAGCTTTAGCAAGGTTTCAGCAAGCCTATTGAACATATTCTTTTTCAGGGCCACATGTTTTAATGGTTCTGTGTTAACTAATGGCCAAAGTATAGTAAACTTAGACCCAACTGCAACCTGTGATAACCAGAGACCCATCTTGACCCAAGGTGAAAGATGATGCCAGCCAGGGGTGAAAGTGCATCACGTTCCCCAGAGCTATTCTTTCTATTTTTGTGAAACGGGATATGTTGATTAAACAATACATGAAATTGAAAACTGCTACTCATGTCCCTAAACCCCAGAGTTTATGGACTTTGACCAATTGTTTATGAAGAAATTGTTTCATTTTATGAACACGAGTCCTTGTCAGATTCGTTTGTAGGACTTCACTCTCAAAAACTCTCCATCCGCAATTTTTTGTGTTCACTCCTACTGACAAAATTTGTCTTCTAAACACTGTATGTTTTTTCTACTGTTTTTAAAATCATGCCCTGTTCCAGTTACGTTTTTCCTCTGTGAAGTTTGAGTGTTAGGGTAGGCAGAGAACGCTTCTATAAATGGGTTTGGCAGGACTTTAAGACTACTTCCGAAGTAGATGTCTTCTGAGCAGTGTGACTTATGCCATTTAGGGAAGGGATGCAGAGACATTTCAAGATAGTAAAAACTTAGTTTTGAAGAAACTTGATTTTTATAGACCTAGAAAAACTGTCCAAAACCATTATATTAAAATAGCTAGGTGTTCCTTATAGATAAATAAAAGATTATTAAGAACTCATCCTACCAATTCTAAGGTTGGCAATATGTATTGGGAAAAATGGGGTAAGTTTTTACCACTCAAGTGTTCAGCTGTGTCTATTCATATAAAAAAAGAAACGCATGACCATTGACAGATGTTATTTGCAATCAAGAAAATAGAAATAAAACATAAGAGAGATGAAAAAAAATCAAGTGTCTTGAAAGGAAACCAATTGGCAAAGAAATCAACTCTTTTTCTTTTTGATTCATTAAATCAATGAACTGTAATTTCTAAAATGTTGGTGCTTTTTCTGATCTATAATTACTGCTACTGATAGCAACTCAATTTGCTCAATACTGTTGATTACAAATAATTAAATGTGATCTAACAGCTTAAAAAAAGAAAATGATGTCATTCTTTGGACAACAGACAGTTTTAAAATCTTTGTTTATATATAGACAGTGGACCTATAGTGAGCCCTGAGAATGACTTATTTAGAAGGGGCTTCAGAAGCTCTCTCAACTGCTAGAAAGACATCGTAGCATTCCTTTCTGGAAATTCTTGAGTTTTGTTGGGAGGAAGAATCTCTCACAAATATAGCCAAGATTTTAATGAAGACAAAGTACAGAATAAGAAATGGTAAAATAAATGGGAGGATAAATTTCTGCACTTTGAGAAGACTCTATGGGGGCTCGTTCAGAGATAAATTTAGTCACAAAGGAACTGAGAATCATACTATTGGATTCCGCCCTGTATTTTTACAGTTTGTTGAACTTTACTACTTGTAGGTTACTTTTTCTCCGGAGACTTGGTACAAAGCAGACAGTAGGGCTACTTTGGACAAACCGTCTTACAGCTCTGTGTCTTTTTACTTTATTCCTTTTCTTGCTCTCACGTAGTGAGAGAAGGGACATCCTAAATTTGTTCATTAAGCAAAGCTTGTAACACTGTGTCCCCTTCTGCTCAGAGGGGATCATACGAATCAACTCAGGCAGAGATTCCCCTCTTCTGTTTTTTCATTCTTGTTTTGTTTCCACATAACACTGTCCTTAAGTTAGCCTAATTAACTTCCTGTAGGCCAATGTGCCAGTTGAGAGCTGGTTAGCAAGTTATTAGATTGGGAGGAATCACTTTTTTAAAAAAACTAGTATTCTAAGAAATATGAAGAAGCTGTATTGTAGAGGGGCCTGGCTCTGAGAGTCTACACAACTGGATGATCCTGACTGGATGCTATAATTTTTTAAGGCAAGTCACACTCTTTCTCATTTGTAAAATTGGGATAACATCTTACTGAGTAAACCTATACGAACAGAAAGGACTCCCAGAGAGGGGGAAAATACCGTTTTGCTGACTCCAGGATGGAATACCAGCACCCTTATCTTTATTTTAGTTTTCAGTAAAGCTTCAATTAGGCGAGGAGCCAAGCTCCTTTTCCAGCAGCCGGGCGCAGCCAGGCTCCTCTTCTTCAGGATAATCACGCAAACTCTAGATGTCTGGTTTAATGTCGTTCACTTAAGAAGAGACCACCTCCACCTGCCCAAAGCCCTTCTAACCCTCTTCGACCCTCAAATCACTAATGAAGCTCCCTTGAGCTCTGGCCCCAGGCGCCGCCTGGCGGCTATTTCCGGAAGTCGCCTCGGAGCTTTGGGGTCCTGGCCGTGGCTAGGCTTGCCCATGGAGTTGCCTAAAACTAGAGATCCAGACTCCGCCTCTACGAACTACCCGTTGAGGATTTTAAGGCAGCGATGAAGCAGCTGGGGTTAAGGAGAAGGAGGTGTCCGGAGGCCTCTGTACTCCCTGAAAGATGGCGGAGACAGGCGGTCCTCGGACAGCTCGCGACCCGGAAGTTGCCACCGGCGCAAAGCCCCCGCTGCCGAGCGCAGGCGAGAGGGGCGGAGCTTGTTCGTGACTCGCCGGAGGACGCCGCGGCTCCCGCGTTTTAAGTTGGCTGATCCCTTGGGTGCTGCCTTGCGGGCGTCGAGTCCGGAGGGCGCTTAGCCGCCGTTCTCGGTTGGCGCCCTGAGCTACTATCAGAGGCGACATGAGTGCCGCGGGGCTGTTGGCTCCGGCCCCGGCTGGAGCACCGCCGGCTCCGGAGTATTACCCGGAGGAAGACGAAGAACTGGAGAGCGCCGAGGACGACGAGCGAAGCTGCCGGGGCCGCGAGTCGGATGAAGGCGCGTCCTTAAGCTCGCTGGGTAGCCCGGGGCGGGGGCGGGACCGCTGCTGGAAGAGTTGGGGCTGCTTGGGAGAGGGGCAGTGCAACCTCGGAGGCTTGGGGCAGCTGGAGGGAGCGCGGCTCCGGAAAGTTAACCCCACCTGTTCAGGGGGAGGGGGAGCTGTGGGTACGCTGTACCCTACCGTTTTGGGAAGAAGGGACTTAGGGAGCTGTTGTCACAGCCCGAGGAGGTCCCTTTAAGGTTCTGCTTCCAGTTTCCCAACCGTCTCTGGTTGAACCTCAGGTCTTCAGTGTTTGGAATGAGAAAGCCTTCCTTTGGGTGCTCCTCCCCTTTTAGTTCCTGAGAAGATTCGAGCTAAGCTGTTTGGCTTCTTGGTTCTCTGGTTGCTTCCCCCCCCCCCGCCCCCCGCCCATTCCGGGTTAATGGTTTAGTCAGACTTAGCTTGAGGCAGTGCAGTACGGTTTGGTTAAAGGAATGAGACTTGCAATCAGATATAAGTCTAAATTTGGCTCACTTAACTCATCGTTTGACCTTAGACAATCGAAGCTTAAGAGCCTCAATTTCTCCAGCAAACGGGGCTTCCTAGTATTGGTGTATTGGTGTGAGGACTGAATGAGATATACACAGAACGTGTTGTAGTGGTACTTTAAAGCCTGGTACTCAGGAAATATCCAGTGCTTTTTTTTAATCTTTGGGGCAACGGACATAGAGGGAAGGTAGGATTTGGATTTAATAGTGCCCAGGTGTTGTGTTTTTAAGTTTCATGCTCTTTGTATTATCATTACTGCCTCTCAGTCTTGTTTTTCAAATTGGGTTTTACACTTCGACAAGTGTGAGGAACACTGTTTTGGAGGGATTGAAGGAGCTGAATGTAGGAAAAAGGTGAAGAAGCAAGAGACGAGGGAGACGAGAGAGGCAATAGAGACCAATATATGGGTAGAATATTCTGGCACAAAATAGGGCCGTGGAGCAAAAGGCTGGACCAGCTGTCTGAGGATTATGTTTTATTCATCTCAGTTCTCCAAGTGCCAAGTGCTGTGGCTGGCACATGATAGGAACTCAGGGCAGAAAGGTTGGAGAATTGGACCTGTAGCAGCCTTTAAAAAGGGAGCTGCATGTGCAGGTATAAATAAAGGTGAAGGAACTAATTGATTTGGTTAAACCCTATTTGAAGACAAGGCTTAACCAGAGATTTTGAATGTCACTTGTTACTTGTACTGCTTTTAGTGCCCACAAGGGGGAGTGGTGAAGCCAAAATTGATTTTTTTCTTCACTTAGGTAGGGCTGTTGAAATACGTAAGTAGACATTCCAGCGGTTTGCTTAGTCTAAGAACAATGTTAAAAATGTTCTGAAAGTTTCTGCGTGATCATCTTGCCCCTTTGAAAATGTTTTAGTTATTAGAATTCAGTTCATTGATTTGAATTCTCCTTCACATACATGGGACATAAGATCTGTTAGGGTTCAAACTGGACATATTCCGGAAGAGAAAGTACATACTAGATTGTCTCAGAGTGATCAAGGCTTGCCTGCCTGTAGTTTTCCAGTCTTAAGACCAACACCTCTTCCTGGTCTGCCACTGTTCTGCGGAAGAAGCGCCCTCGACTATGACCATCTGTGTCTGCTGTACCTTATTCTGTAGCTGTACTTCAGATAAAGATGAGCTGTCTATTTAGAAGTTGGAAATAGCATTTTCAATTTTTATGAAGCAACTGTAATATTTTTTCACTGATGGCTTCACTCAGGCCTGCACTGACTAGAATTCATTAAAAAAATTAGCTTGTTAAGTGCCTCAGGTAATAGCAACTCTGTGAACTGTGATTTTTAACAAGCCCTTCTCTGGTTTTACCTAGACACTGAGGATGCTAGCGAGACTGACCTGGCAAAGCATGATGAAGAAGATTATGTAGAAATGAAGGAGCAGTGAGTATGACTTTTAGGTTTCTTGTTTGGAATATACAGTTGACAAGGAAATCTCTGTAATGACCCTGTGCACACAGCTTGACCACGGTGCCTCCAGAGACGACGCAGATGTGTGCAGTCCTGTTTTTAAGTTTGTCCCATTTGATCAGTCCTCCTATTATAATTTTTTGAGCATACGCTAGAAAGAACCTTGAGGAAATGATCCCAGGGGAATAAGGCCAAACAACAGGACCAACCCCCTTATTTTTTAGCTAATAAGTTATATTTTATTAATTTTTAGTTTAACAACATGTGGAAAATATGATCATGTAATATCAGGAGGTTGTGGGTTTGCAGCCCAGTGCTGAACCTCAGCGTTTTTGACGTTCATCTTCACCAGGGTGGTCTCCTGTTTCCAAAAGCTCCAAATGCCTTGATCCATGTTCATTACCACTTTCTTCAGTAACAGATCTGTCCACTGCAGTCAACAATTAGCATCAAACCCTTACGAGGTTCCTTCTGTAATGTCTTATTTGTATAGACTACTACTTTTTTTTTATATTAGGGGTTTTTAGTTGGGGCCTAACCTTATGTAAGAGACAGTAATGTCTAATGTTGCCAGTTGTAGGTAAAAATTCATGGAAGGGCGCAGCTGTCCAGTGAATCCAGCTGCAGTGAATCACAGCATCACATCCTTATGAACTTCCTGCCCCAGTGTCTCACTCATGTAGACTATTTTCTTCTTTTTTAAAAAAAAGATTTTATTTTTATAGGGGAAGGGAGGGCCAAAGAGGGGGAGAGAAACTGCAGTGTGTGGTTGTCTCTTGTGCACCCCCTGCTGGAGACCTGGTTTGCAGCTCAGGCATGTGCGCTGATTGGGAATCAAACCTTTGACCCTTTGGTTCGCAATCCGGTGCTCAGTCCATTGAACTACACCAGCCAGGGCAACAGGTTCTTTATTTCATCATTTCTTTTGGTAAAATGTATCTGTGGGTTTCTTTTTTATACAGAAGAATGAAAGATATCTTGATTGATTAAATAATTGTAATGTTTACTTTTTTAAGTTTATTATTTTTTCTTTTATTGAATTTACTGGGGTGATGTTGGTTAACAAGATTATATAGGTTTCAGGTGTACACTCACTTTTGTTGAGATGCAGAAACCATCAGAGAGGGTAAATGATGTTTCACGGCTACCTGACTCACAGATGGGTGTGACCCCACTGAGCGTTAACTGAACACTAGGTGGCGTGCTACAGTCCAGAGAGTTCAGGGAGACCAGGATTGGCTAGCAGGACTCCCGCCTCGGTGCCCTTTCCATCATCACACGTTCTTACCCAAGCCTTCTCTTTGTCTTCAACAGAGCCACAACTAAGTGTGCCCAGAGAAAGTAAAACCGCTCACTTTTATTGTGGACACAGATGCAAGCCAGTATTTAAAAATTTGTTGAATGTATTTTGCAGCTCTCGATTTGACTTATCTCTTAACTAGGTGGTCTACATTCCTCTCATTATAGGTCTTTTTAAAAATATTGTATTTATTTACTTTTAGAGAGGAGGAAGGGAGAGAAACATCAATGTGCACGAGATACATGGACCGGTTGCCTCTCGCACACCCTTTACTGGGGACCTAGCCTGCAACCCAGGCATGTGCCCTGACTGGGAATTGAAGTGGCGGTCTTTTGGTTTGCAAGCCGGCACTCAATCCACTGAGCCACCCCAGCTAGGGGTATAGGTCTTATTTGCAAATGCTTTGTGACCACCCTTTGGGTTCTGTCATCCTTTTCAACCATTGGCACCCAAAGGGGTCATTCAGCAAAAATCTGGCCAGTGCTAAATAAAGGAGGATTACTTCATGTGATTTTTCTCATAGCTTCATATCTGAAACCGTGCATGCTTTTTAATAAAAGTTCAATTTTATTCCTTTCATTTTACCAATTAACCTTTACCCATTTGAAATGCATTTTTGCATACCTGTTCTTTTCCTGAATCTCAATTTATTGTTATTTACTTCTTCAACGTGTTGATACTCCCTGTCAGAGACAGACTCAGAATTCAAAGGTGGTGTCTGGTGCACTCAGTGTGGTGGAAGATTCAGTGTACTAGGTTCCTGTTCCCTCCTGTACTTGACATGTTTAAACATGCTTTAGAGACAGTCTTTTTTCTAAAGATTTTATTTATTTATCTTCAAAGGGGAAGGGAAGACAGAGAGGGAGAGAAATTACAAATGTATGATTGCCTCTCATGTGTCCCCTGCTGGGAACTGGTGTGCAACCCGGGCATGTGTCCTGACCAGGAATCAAACTGCAATCCTCTGGTTCGCAGGCCCACGCTCAATCCACTGAGCTACAACAGCCAGGCTAGAGACAGTCTTTTAATTGAATGTGCCCCATAATATTTGATGATATAGAAAATAATTTTGATGAACATTGAATGCCTTCCTCTGAAACCTATATAATTTTATTAACTAATGTCACTCCAATAAATTCAATTAAAAGTAAATAAATGAATTGCAAATAAAAACAAACTGGAATGCCTGTGTAGTCCAAGAGGAGTACTAAGAGTACATCAGAATTTTCCTGAAAGACATCTTGAGTAATTCTTGGATTCTGCCTCCTTCTTCCTGAACCTATAGGTAGTTAGGGTGTATTTGCAGGCTGTTGTTAACCAATCAAAAGGCTGTTGCGCTTGTGACCCATTGGATAGTGGGTTATTTTTTCCCTCAGTTGCAAATCTTGTTTTTGAAATTGGGGGTGTTTTTCAGGTAGAAGCAAAAGCATTGCTGACATGTGATTTACCTGTGGAATCTGCCATTCATGCAGATTTGCCAGGGTGTATGATTGCCTGTGATCCATTTGGTGTGGGGGGGGACTGGGCAGTGCTTTTCCTTTGTGTGTGCTGTGTGTTCTCGTCCGGCTGGGGCTGCGAGTGAATCGTGCATTTTAACTTTTTTTGCTGAATTACTGTTTCTCTGATCCTAAAAAAGTGGTGCTTTTAAAAATGACATGAAGGTTTATTATCTTAGTGCTTACACAGCTAACCTAGCTATATAGAAAAAAATGTGCTAAGGGCATAATCTTACTCCTTTGGAATTTATACTCTCATTGCAGAGTTGATAGAAGAGCTGCATTCAGTGCCTTTCTTATGTTTGTGTGTGTGTGAGTGAGTGAGAGACTTATGCTGATAAGGCTAGAAGAAAACAGCCTCACCATTTTCTTTCAGGGTTTTCGTGTAGTATCACCTATTTATCAGTGTCACTTGTTTATTAAAATCTGCATGTCCTCATATTTGTAGATTATGAGACCGATTTCTAAAGGTGGGGTAACAGGAGTATGTACAAAATTGGGATGGGATCAGGAGCACAGAATCTTTGTCCCTTTCTGACCCCTTTGGCTGCTGCAGCGTTTCGAACCAGCTCGCACAGTTCAGTTTTCTCTCTTTCCTACGGGACACAGATGACATTCCGGTAACAGCCCAGGTAGTTTCTGCGTGTAGATCGTTTCGGAATTGAGTGGAACGTTTTGTCTCTCAGTGTGGCTTTCCTCTCTTTGCAGGATGTATCAGGATAAACTGGCTTCTCTCAAGAGACAGTTGCAACAGTTGCAGGAAGGTCGGTGTGTGATTTAACCCTTCATTTCTAAATATACTCCTTATGTTACAAACCTCTGAGACCTGGGTGTTCACTTCTATGTTGGAGTGATTTAAAATTTTGTAGGGCTGATTCTAGCTATCTAGGTATACATTTTGCTGTCTTTTGTCAGTGAAATGTGGTTTTTAAACTATTGTGGAATTTCACGTCGGGCTTCTGAACAGCATGAACTAAGATCAGTCTGCCTACTGCTAGACACTTAAAATTTTGTATTTATTATGTACTTATTTTTAGAGAAGGGAAGGGAGGAATGAAGAGGGAAACATCAGTGTGTGGTTGCCTCTCATGTGAGACTCCCTACCGGGGACCTGGCCCATAACCCAGGCAGGTGCCCAGACTGGGAATTGAACCAGCGACCCTTTGGTTCTCAGGCTAGTGCTCAGACCACTGAGCCACACCAGCCAGGGCTGTTAGACATGTTTCAGGGGAGATGTTTCCAGAACAACAAATAAAATTATACTGTTCTTTCTAAAGTAAATGCTAATGAGCTGTGAATTGTCCCCTTGAGTTTCTCTCTTTAGCATGGCAAATTAAAAATGGATTGTAGCTTTGGCCTGCTAGCTTAGTTGGTTGGAAGGTTGTTCCAATATACCAGTGTTATGGGTTTGATCCCTGGTCAGGGTACATTCAAGAAACAACCAATCAGTGAATGTTCCAACCGATAATGTGGAACAGCAAAGATATTTCTCTCAAATCAATACATAAAAATTATTTTTCAAAAATGGATTGTATCTTGTTGAATATTGTTTCTGCTAAAGGCAGTTCAGGCTCTCGAGTCTTGTTATGGGGCTGAGTCCCACTGCTTTCTAGAGATTGGACTTTGGGCACATCACTTTCTAAAAAGAAAGTGCGTGGGATTATGTACAGAAGTGACCCATCCTCCCAGGCACACCGTGAGAACTCGGGGACGGGTGGCTGCTGCCCTGCGCTCCTGGACTGCCCTCTGGGGTGCCCCTGCCTCAGCGAAACTGCTTCTCGCCAGGTCCTTTCATTGCTCGGAGTAGTCCGTCCTGTACTGACGTCTGCTTGTTCTCCTTTTTTTCACGACACTACATTAATACAGTGGTACAGAGAAGGAAATGCATTCCACTCTGGCAAGTCTGTAAGGCGTGGCTGAGTGAAGAATTTTGAAAAAGATGCCTTGCATACAGGGTAGGGCAAAAGTAGGTTTACAGTTCCTATGGAAAATAATGCAGTGGTTAATAATACGAGAATAAAGTGTGTTTCCTGTACTCACAGCTGTAAACCTACTTTTGCCCCACACGCTATATCTTACCAAAGTGTTACGATTAGGAAACACCTCCACGTTAATTGGGACGCTCCTGATGAGCAGCTTTTGGGAAGAGCAATGAAAGGAGTAGAGATTTGGTAAGAATCTAAACCCGAGCTGTCTGGTATTATTACTAACCACGTGCGGCTGTTTATATTTAAGTAAATAAAATTAATAACTCAGTTTGTCAGTTGCATTAGCCGCATTTCAAGTATGTAGTAACCACATGTGACCAGTGGCTACCATGTTGGGCAGTGCGATGTAAAACGTTTCCGCCATCGCAGAGACAGTTCTGGATAGCATTGCTTGAGACCTGACCTTACTGAAGGAGGAGGATCTTACTTTCCCAGGAAAGGAAAGCCCGTTGACTTGAACCGTAGCAGTGATCAGAGTCTCCTGACATTTCCTGACCTTTCTGTAACTGCTCACTTGCTAGAGAGTCTTAACCCGCTGGGCTGGGGGCCAGTGTCCCGTTAGTTCTGTGTGTGCCTTTCCTTAGTTGGCGTTTTGTTCTGATGTGGCTAAGACAGGCACTGGTGGTGCTAGAAAGTAATTTTAGGAACCAGAGCGGAGAGCACATCTTCAAAGTGACTTTTTATTTTCTAAATCTCAACGTCAGGTACGTTACAGGAATATCAGAAGAGGATGAAAAAACTAGATCAGCAGTACAAAGAGAGGATACGGAATGCAGGTAAGTGCCGCCTAAACGGAAATAAATCGTCTTCAGACTTGCCTCTTTTTGCTCATCATCAGTATAATGTGGCCATAAGAGCTGTTCCCCAAAGATGGGGAACCTGTATCTCAGACATCCCCTTGTGGGGAGAGGTTTAGGGAAGAGAGATTTTAAAGGTGCAGTTATGTTAAACTGGTTCATCTTTTTTCCAGTGACCAATCACAGTCCATAGCTGAGGTGGTTAGTTGTGGCTTCTTGGGGTCAGACTCTTCCACCCCTCCACCCCGAGCTGCCACTGGCGCCCCAAGAATTGCATGTCCTTTCTTGGGTCTGCATGGCTGGCTTCCTGGACCCTCAGAGGAGCTGACGTGTAAAAGGATGTAGGTTGTTCTGCTCTTTTCAGCTTGCTGCTTCTGATAGTCTTTGCTCTGGGAGGAAAGAGCGACTCTTTGGTTTTTTCCCCTCAAGTTATATAGGCATTTGGGGAAAAATACACTGTTTTGCCTGTTGTACACAGTAAATGTATTCATTCAACAGAAATTTGTTGAGCATCTGCTGCATCTAAGCTCTGGGAGCAATATAAAGTAGTGTTCGATACTGCCCTTGACTTACGGAAACTTGCTGTTCCACTGACGAAAGGTGTCTAAAGGTGTAAACGAAAGAACAGTGTGAGTTAAATAAATGGAGAATCGTATACCAACTAAGATGTGGTGACTGTTTTAAAGTGTGTAAACACAAATTCCCGTGTTTACAGGAAATCTTTGTGTTAAATTTTGAAGCTCCCATCAGCCAGCATTTCGATCACCGGTGCGGTGTTTGTTCCTGCAGTGGTGAAAGTAATGTTGGGTTTTAAAATGAGGTCCCGGTGCCGTCCGCAGGCTGCTGTCCTCTGCTTTCCCTTCCCATGACTTTCCAGCTTTCTGTTGGTGGGATCCTTCCTTCTCTCCCTCAGTGAGTAGATGATCCGTGGACACCAACAGATAGAGGAAGAGCTGAAGGGTGTGGGGGCTGCCGGAACAGTGGAGTTGCAGCTGTGAGCCTTCTGCCCATCCACGTCCGCTCCTGCCCCTGTGATTACCCCCCACCCCTCACCCGCCCTAAGGCCTTGAGGCATGTCCTTGGAACACCTTTAAGAGCAGTTCTTTTCCTGGAGCGCCCTTTCAGCAGGGAGAGGAGGTGGTGTGGTGGAGAGAGGCCTTAGGTCTAGGTTTTCCATTGCTTTAGGTAGTATGCTTTTAAGCAGGTATTTACTCTTGGAGCCTCAGTTTCCCCATCGTAGAGGGGAACTTACCTCATGGAATTGGTTTAAGGGGTAAGTAAGGAAAGAAAAGTGAAGTGAGCCGTTTTTCTTAAGCTAGAACTGCAGGGTGAGGATTGAGTTGTCCCTCCTGTCCTCACGTAACCTTTCCTGAACAGCGCCCACCCTGGTGGGAACGCAGGAGAGCACCTGCCTGGAGCTGCAGAAGGCACATTCCATGCAGAGAGCATCCACCTGCTTTAGTTGTGTCTGTTGTTTGGCTGCTTTAACTAAAACCACCGCCACCAACTCTAAGTGCTAATTGTCAGCGTGACTTGTTGGTTCAGGTGTGATTTCTCAGAATGGCACAGACTTCAGCCGTCCGGCTTGTTCCCGACGGTCCAGGTAGCAGTAACCATAGGAGTGAGCATGTTGGACTGGATGTGCCTGTGCTCATGTGCCCAGAGCTTCCCAGTGAGCAGGGCTTTTGGGGGACAGGGGTGGTTAGAAAATAATAAATGGCTTGTCCCTTTGCTTGGTTAATTTTCTCATTCAATAACTGTTATTTGACACATGAATTTTTAATCTGGAGACCCTGAAACTCAAAATCTTATGACGTGTGCGAAAGTGCATATGTGGTTTTTAAAAAATATTTTATTTAATTTTAGAGAGAGGGGAAGGGATGGAGAAAGAGAAGGAGAGAAACATTGATCAGTTGCTTCTTGCACGCCCCCAACTGAGGACCTGGCCCGATCCAGGCATGTGACCTGGCTGGGAATCGAACCCGTGACCCTTTGTTTCACAGCATGGTGCTCAGTCCTCTGAGCCACTCCAGCCAGCCATGTGTGATTTTTAATGGGGTAATGGCTCCATGGGATTTATCTGATTTTCAAAGGAGACCTTGGTGGATGTGACTAGCGCCCTCTGGAGTTGTCGATCTACCAGCAGTCTCTGTGGACCTTATGTAGCAGCTCCCTTGTCACCCAGGGAAGGTTAGAAGCCGGGGATCCATTTCGTTCCAAGTCCTAAGTTTGCAGAGGGCCCTCCTGTCTAGTGGTCTAGTGGTTGGGAAAGCTGCTGGATTAACATTTGCTAATTGCCTGGCACACAGTGGGTGCTAAATAAGCTGTTGAATGCTATGGGGTGGATACTTTCAGGTGTCCGAGAGGGTGGCGAGGAGAGAGGTGGCTTGGCAAAGGGTCCTCAGGAAGGGCCTGGTGGAGGAGGCTGCACTAGATCCGAAATTGCCGGTGGAGGTCTGGCCCTGAGCAGAGGCTCGGCAGCCTGAGAGGAAAGCCCAGGAGGGCTCAGAACCTCTGCCCTCTGAAATCTCGAGGACTGTCCTTCCTTCCGCCACACAGAGCCCTTCACACAGCGCTTTACAGACATCAGGGTTGACTCTGCTTCTGGAGTGAGTGCACTGCTTCCTCCTGACCCCTCTTGCCCTGCAGGACTGTTCGGAGGTGTGTACTGAGTGAAAGAAGAAGGGATAACTTTTATTTTTATTTCGTCAAGGTAGTTTGGTTTCCTGCTGCTTGTTTTTGCCCTTGGGCAGAACTGCCAGAACCGATGCTGCTCAGGGCCAACTTTTAAGTAGACACAAGTGCTTCTTGCTTCCTTCCCCTTCATGTATATCAGCACTTTACTGATGAAAACATTTGCTCTGGGTAATCGTGCCTTCAGAAAGCAATTACTGCTTCTAAATGAATCCTAACACACTGTCTAAAAAGGTGACAGCCTAGCGAATCTAATTGCACGTTTTATCTCTTTCAGAACTCTTCCTCCAGCTGGAAGTAAGTACCACGGATCTTCTGGGTTTGCAGGCTCTTTCTCAGTCTGGAATCTTGCTCTTGCCTTCCCAATCGGGGGCCTTTCCTTCTCTCACCAAATAGGTAGTTGGGAAGCCTCCAGCCGGAAGCCTTTGTCACTGTTCTGTTTGACGAAAGGACATTTGGTCTCAATTCAGAAATTCCGTCTACTCATTTGTTTGTTGGGCAGCCTCTGCATGCACGGGGGACTAGGGGACACTCACCTCTCACGGCTTTCTTGTTGCCTCGGATCTCTCAGTAAAGCCACTTGGGAGTACACCTGAACTCTAAGACCCTAATAATTTGTTACATTGGTCTTCGAAGGAGCCCAGTTTCTGAATTGGCTCAGTAGTTGAGTTTTACAGCTGAGACTCTGGATTAGCAGGAAAGACGGATTAAAAATTTCCTTTCGTTCAGCAGCTGTCTGGTGCTGGTTGTGTGTGAGGCACAGCACAGTGCTTGGGTGCAGAGCTGCGGGCCTGCACCTTGAGCAATGTACTGCTCCTGGGGTGGCTTGTGTGTGTGTGTGGGGGGGGCGGTTGGGAGGGTTGTGAGTGTATCAGAGCCACACGAGTGTGAGCAGATCAGGATTTATCAGAGCCACATTATTGGAAACCACTTCAGTACGGAAGCCAGTGCAGCACACGCAATCACAGCCTGAAAGACTGCATGGCCCGCCGGCACCGTGGCCTCCGTAAGCCCCCCTTGGGGAGATTTAGAAAGCGGACGTTTGTGCAGTTTTTACTTAGCGCACTTTCAGCCTTTGAGTGCTTTGGGTGTGGCCACCTAATAAATGTTCTGCTCTAGTTGATCTTTATCTGGCTGAGGCATCTTGATTCAGTTAATTTTGAATGTAGATATTTCACCTAGAATGTGCTATTTTCCTTCGACATTGTGTCCTTAAAGGACACACGAGCTATAAAATACAAGATGTGGAACAGAGGAACTACCTGAATAGCAAGCGAGATACGCTCATAAAAATGAGCAGAAATCGTGTGGTTTGAATTGAGGAAACAATTCCATTGTTTGAATTTCCATTCACTGGAAAACTGGCTTTCAGAGACCCCGCTGCTGCAGCTGTGCGTGGGGGGGCAGCTCCTTCTCATATTTCCAGTGAAGGCATTTTCTGTGCTCCTGGGTGCAGGGCCACTGCAAGGTGGAGCCCTGGCTGCCAGGTCCAGGTCCCCCTATTCTGTGTTTCTCTTTTGCTCAGACTGAACAAGTGGAAAGAAATTACATTAAAGAAAAGAAGGCAGCAGTGAAAGAATTTGAAGACAAGAAGGTGGAGCTGAAAGAGAACCTGATTGCTGAGCTGGAAGAGAAGAAGAAAATGATTGAAAATGAAAAGCTAACGATGGAACTGACTGGAGGTACGAAAGCACCAGCAGGGTCCTGGGAGCCCCGAGACGGGGGCGGGGTGGGGAGGTGGTCTGCATCCTAATTAGCTCCTTCTGTCTGTCTCAGCTCCTCATCAGAGCTGAGCAAACCAAAAGGAGAGTGGGCTTTGATGTGACAGGTCAGATTTCTAATTTAGTCTTGTAATGGCTGTGTGACTTTATTCAAGCCACTTAACGTCTCTGAGTCTATTTCCCACTCTGTAAAATGGGTTGATCACACCCTGTCTCACACAATTGTGGTTATTAGAAATGTGAGTGTCTAGTACAGTGCCCTAAACATAGCAGGTGTTCATTGAACTGGTAGACCTTTCATGGTAACTGTGACCTCTGGCTTACGCTTTATTTAATTTAATTCTTGGGTTGGCTGGCATTTGTGTCTTGTTTTTATTCACAGATTACTTACCTGAGTCCCCGTGCTGCTTTTTCTTTTGTTCTTTTCAGTCTGCCTTAATTACAGAAAAGACCTTGTTATCCCTTGACCTAGATGTGAGAACAAAGGCTTTGGGCTGTATCATCTATGCTATTAAATCCCTTCTCTCAGGCCTGACTGTGAACCTTTCAGGAAGAGTTGATACGATTTCAGCAAGGGTGGCCACACTGAACTCCTCTCCTGAAAAGGCAGTCGAGTTACATTGACTGGGAGCCAGTCCCTCCCTCGCCTTCTAGGATTTAGTAACCTGCATATGGAAACTCAGCAGGTTTAAGGGAGAAGCAGTATGGGCTGTCTCTTCTGTTGCCATATGTAGACCGATGAATCCTAGAAGAATACAGGGCAGGAATCGGCTTAAGTGAGCTATTTCGGATAGCTTATTTTTGAATTAGCAAAATTTCCATCAGCAGATAGCACGAGGAAAGTCAGTGGTGAGTCGGCCACCTGGATGTGTAAGTGGCACGCACGCCTCTGCACACCTCAGAACGTAGCCTTTATAGTCAGCCTGAAGGTACGGAGGCTCTGGCATGCCTGAGTTCAGGAGGGTCCATAGCGAATGCATCGTGTGTGCGTAAGTCCTTGCGCTGAGCTTTGAAACCAGAGTAACCATTAAGGCCTGTGTCTCCCCATCTGTATTTATGGTGCCGTGAACCAGTGGCACAAAGTGGCCTCCCAGTTGACCCCATGATACACCAATGAGAATGTGTATTATGGAAAGTGGGAACCTTGTTCCAAAAAAATGTCTCCTGTGATAGCTTCCTCATTGAGAGGTGTAACAAAAGGAGTGAATTCTCAAAGATCTGAAGGTAGCAGAAATGATTTGGGGGTGAGAATGGACGCTGAAATGGCATCCTCAGAGAGCACCATCTTGTTCCTGTGCAGTACCTTTTTAATTGGCCTGTGAGCACTGCAGTACCTGGTTTGGTACCAGCCTGCCTGCTTGTCTTCTGGCGTGCACACTGTTTTCTCCAGTGGTGGCTGTGGCTGGCATTGCCACCTCATCACTCTCTGCTAAAGCCACCAGATGTTCGTGAGCCTTTATTAGGCTCGTGGGAAATGCTGTTGGTTTATAGCTGCTCCCTTTTCATCTGCAGGGAAGGATATCATCACCATACCTGGGATTTGGCATCCTAATTATCGACGAGAGATAGACATTGTTTGGCCAGGCAGTTTTACAGCCGGAACATTAACTAGGACAGGAAGCATCCTCAGTGACTCGAGGCCGAGACTAGTAGAGTAGAAAAGACAAATGCGGGAGACCATTTGGAATGCAGTGCAGGAAATGACAGAGGTGCTCAAACCTAGCCAGGGGCGTTAAAGGTCCTGATGTCCGTCCTTAAGCCACTTGGTGCCCTTGGTTTAGAAAGCACTGCCAAGGTAATGATAGAGTGTCGAAAGAAGAGGCAGTGGAGCTAGAAGGATAATTAGCATTTCTACAGATGGTGCAGCTATGGTTTTGGATTAAAGGCCTGATTTCATTCCTCTCGCTGAGTGACTTATTTTGCCTTTGTGCTCTGATGCCCAATGTCAGCATTGCCCAGTTCTGCCCAGAAGAGAGATTTCTTCAAAACTCCTTTTCTGGTTCAACACGAAGATCTCTTGAAAAACAAAATGAAATAAGACCTATGAGACGCTTAGTCCAAGTAACCCATTGGAAATGGCTAGATCTGATGACCTGCTCTGTCCCAGCAGGACTTAAAGCATCTTTAGACCTCCATGGGAGTAGGAAGGTTCTCTTCACTGCCCCAGCCTCCATGGAGAGCTTCTGCGACAGCTGAGTGGTGTGTGTGGAAGGTGTATCATCAGTAAATCACCCAGGATAAGTTCTAGGCCACTGCTCCGTCAGCTTGAATGTGTATGAGTCACTTAGGGTTTTGGTAAAGCGCAGATTATGGTTTGGGGAGGGGGGCGTCTAGCATAGAGCCCGAGACCCTGCATTTCTCAGTACCTCCCAGGAGCTGCTGGTCGGACCTCAGTTTGAGCAGCGAGGTTACAGGTAGAAATTACTCCAGTGAGTTTCCTCTGCAGTTGAGGTGAGGTTATTAATAAGGAACCCAAATAATGGAGAATTTAACGAACTTGAAAATGTGGGGAGCTTTACCATCTTTAATTCATTTTTCCTCTTCCTGTCTTCAGGACAGCTGTCATTTTTTCCTTTCTTCCAACAGCTCACTAACTGCCACTTCATTTTCGTTTGAAAGTTCGTGCCCCACCAGATGCGCCCTCCTATCATCAGGCCCTTGGTGAAGCTACTCATGACCTCAGCAGAAACTGTTAGTTTCCTTCAGGAGATACTGGATTCACAGCTGGAGCCATGAGTAATTATAATACCAACATAGGAGCTCTGTTTCCTGAGTACTTACATTGAGCTGCCTCTACAGGCTGACAGATGCCGGTGAACCCTAGTCCTGTTGCGAGCTTCTGCGATGGGCTTTTCTCATTTGGCGTGGAGAAGACAACCTCGCTTTGAGGGTTGGCGCAAAGGTTACCTGAGATAGTGCTTCTGAGGTGCTCGGAAGAGTGGCTCGTGTGCAGAGTGAGCGCGTAGGGGCTGGGGAGTTGTGACCTGCTTCCGTTTCTGCGGCTCCCTGTGACTTGACTTGGCAAGGTCGGCTCAGAAGCAGAGCTGTTTGCCCCCAGCGCCCCCAGCGAGGTAGTCGGTCAGCCAGAATTGCTCTGACTCCCAGCCTGGTTTCTTCACTGCCACGTTCTGTGGACTCCCTGCATAGACCGTGGATTCCTGTGGCACTAAGCGACTCACGGAATGAGGCTCATAGCCGTGTCCTCGAGAAACTGGGGTTCTGATAGAAGACTGACCAAGTTCCCACGTCTCCCCCACACGCGGCAGGCAGTGTTGAGAGGGGGAGGGCTCCTAAACAGAGAAACGTTTGATGGGCTCGTTGTTACCATTGTAAAACCTGTAAGGCACTGTATTTTCGGACTATAAGATGCACCCCCCCCATTTGGGAGGAATAATGGTTGTTAATGCTACTGTTGAGTTCTCTTTACATTGGTGAAATGTTATTTATATTATTAAATATTTTACCACACTTTTTGCTTCAATTTTTTTTTTCCTATTTTCCGTCTCTAAAACCTAGGTACTTCTTATGGTCTGAAAAATACGGTGTATGTGGTTGTGTTGATGTAGGAGCGGTAAGTTTCACCCAATCCGTAACAGATGCCAGTGAGTGGGGAACCTTAGAAGTCAAGTTCAGAAGAAGTAGTCCCACACAAATACCCGGGGAAGGAGAATGGAAGAGGTGACCTGGATTTCGGGTGGAGTGGGCTTGTTCCCAGGATGTTCTTTACTGATGTTTAAAGTGGTGGAGCAAGGGCTTGGTTGGTTCACTCTTTAAATGCCACCCCTGAATTCTGGGCAACTTTGACCCAGTGGAGATTGGTTCCTCCCTGGTTTGGCCTCCAGCAATCGGCCTTGATTTGTGCAGCCCTCCCCCGACTCATCTCCTGTAGGCACCCATTTGTGGTTGTTACTGCAGCGCTAATAGATCACATTGGTAGCCTGCTGCCCTGCTAGGGAGCAGTGTGGGTGTGCTGGGGTTTGCTCTGGGTCTGTAGTATAATCCCATGTCACTCTGCCCCTGCTTTTTGGGTAGTTTCCAGTCTCCTACAGTATTTATTCTGTCATAGCTTTTCTTGTACTTTTATCCTTTTTCCTATAACTAATTTTTTTTTCCAACAGCTAGACAGGTGTAAGTTTGTTTTAGTGGTACACGAGCATGTTAGAACAAAGCTTTTAAGGTAGTAGTGCATTGCAGGCAGGTGAGCTGTTGGAGGGAGTCTGTAGGCCTAGGGAAGTGCAGGACAAAAGGCCTGCCAGTAAGTGGTAATTGTATGTTAATTGTGGGTAAATAATGTTTTAGGAATCTCTCTCCATAGGGACCATGCTGTAATGACCATGTAGCACGAGTTCAACCTGCGTTCCCATTTCTTAGCTGGCACAGCCATTGCTACCTGGGGAACACCTGTGTCTGTCAGGTTCTGCCATCCCACTCTCCTTCCTAGTAAGAAAAGTGTTAGGGTTTACACAATTAAAGGTCACTCACATGAGATGGTTTGGAGAGGTGCTGTGTACCTAGTTCTGTTGCTTGTTCGGTGTTTTCTGTCCCTTACACACTCTGGTGTAACTGTTCGATGTTCGGATAGATTCTGCAAATAGTATCCCAGTGAAGCAAACCTACAAGGGGCACTGCATGTGGGAGGCTTTCTGATTTGAGATGTTCTGTGCTGGTGCAGTTTGTCTGAGAGGAAGACTGAGTTCCTTCTCCACAGTCAGACTTTCCAAGGTCTGAGTTTCAGCTCCGGAAGTTTGATTTTGGTCGGTGGACCCAAACTGAGCCCCTTCTGGGACTCTTACTGGCCAGACTCGCAGGAGGCTGAGGCTGTAAATGCCAGCCTGTTGCTTCCAGCGAGTGACAGGCACTTGCAGCAGACTCAGACCCAGGTGGTCAGGACGCCCATCCCTCTGTACAGTCTCCCTAGAAGTCAGGCGGAGCTGGGATTGGAACAGAGCCGTTACTGTGTGGTTTGGGGCTGTGATACTCAGATGTTGCTCTCACCCCCGAATCACATCTTCCACCTGGACCAGTGGCCTGGCGTGCCCCCGCTCTGTCGTCTGCCCTGGGTGGTGGTGGTGGGGGCATGCCAGTAAATCGCATTGGCTTCTTCAGAGCACCTTCCTTCCGCTGAAGTGGCCCTTTGGAGTTAATTAATTAGGTTATTGTTGTGAGTAGGCTAAAAGAGTAATTGATTTTCACCATTTCCTAAGAAGAATTTGATTATATTTTTGGATTTGTGAGTGATGCAGTGACGAGTTTCTGGGCTTCTTGGCTGTGATTGGACTGGGTTATTACCAGGTCTTCAGCTACACTTGTACTTTGCTTACTTCTGTCATGCATTGCCCAGCCGCCCTGCCCCCCTGCCCTAGACGGGGCAGCCGAGGGGTGGGGCACATTGGGCTCACTCTGTTGTGCACAGGACATGCCATGGTGTTCACGAGTGAGCTACTTTTTCTCAGGTGCCCCCTGGGGTTGGGTCAGGTGGGCTCCCTTTACACCATTTTCTGAGTTAGGTCTGAACGCTGCCAAGCTGCACATTGACATCGATCGCCTTCAAGTCTGTAACTTCTACTTTAGCTTTTTGTTTGACCTTTTATTTTTACTTACTTATTTTTTGAGAGGGGAGGGAGAGAAACATCAATGTGAGAGAGAAACACTGATTGGTTGCCTCTTGTACACGCCCCAACTGGGGGCTGAACCTGCAACCTGGGCATGTGTCCTCACTGGGAATCGAACCAGCAACCAATTGCTTTGTGGGGTGATACTTAACCAAGCCACATTGGTCAGGGCTGCACCTTGACTTTTTAAAAACACCTTTGTATAGTTATTTTCATGACTGAAAATATGACAGTAGAAACTAGTGTTGATCAAACTCTTGTTATGGAAGGTGCTGTACTGAGAGCTTCACATGTATCATCTCCTGTAACCCTCACAACACCACGTGAGGGTGGTTTCATTGATATTTTTGTTTCATACACGAGGAAATAAAATACGTGAGACACACAGTATTTATGTAGCCTGCCTCAGGTCCCACAGCCGCAGCAGGGATTCAGACCACTGGCCAGTAAGTAACCGGAGAAGGGCGGCATCTTGGCAGAGGGTGAGAGAGTTCTTCTAGGCTGAAGCCCCCCCCCCACACCTTCCCCTTAAAGGTGCGTGTATGTTTGTCTTTTCTTCTACCCTCACTTTCAAGTACGCTTTTATGAGTATTCATTAGGTCTGCAGTTCTTACCACTTTACTTCCATTCTTCCTTGTGGGAAGAATATCAGTATTGCCCATTTCGGTTCTTAAGAGCGGCGTGCAGAAACGTTATTTGACTTGGTACGCACATTTATGCTGTACTCTTACATCCCACACTTTGCCATAGTGGTGGGGCTACATTTGAATTCTGCAAGGCTGACCTGTCTGCTCTGTTATTCTTGAGTTCCTTCATCTCATCGTGAGGCCGGGGTGGAATCGAGCATCTGTTGGGGGAAATGTCCCATATTTTGTGGCTTTGGCAGTAGAGGTTGGTACAAAAGCCTTGGTTACTGTCACAGTGGGGGATTGTGGAACTGTCAGGGGATGTTGTGTAGTTTACTGGGCAGGAAAGAGGCGCCTAGGCAGAGAGGACAGTGTGCAGAGTCTTGAAGACATAAGAAGTGTGGTGTCTTTGGGTAACAAGTAAGCTTAAAGCTCACATGTAGGGTTTGTGTGAAGGAAGGAGAAGGGAGGAAGACCAGAAATGCAGCCTGGCCTTTATTCCATAGAGCGGCAAGTCATTGAAGTATTTGAGCAGGGTGCAAAGGGATCTGGCTTGTGTCTTAGGAAGACCACTTTGAAGGAGGCGAGGATATGATGAAGGGTTGGAGTCGAGAGGCAGTTAAAAGGCAGAACTGCCATTACCTGGTGGATTTGATGCCTTGATGAAGGAACAGAAGTCACAGATGACAGATTTTGTTCTGCTTGGAAGGATGGATAGAGGCAGCGCCCTCGAGGCGAGCAGGCAGCCTTGGGAGGAGAGGCACTGGGATGCAGACTGACTGGTTTCCCGGGATCACCAGTTTTTAAAGGGAAGACCAGCAAAAAGGACCCCGAGGAGGCAAATCAGGAGAGGAGGAGAGGTGACAGTGACAGTGGCTTTGGGGGGGGGGGGGGGATTTTAAGGCAAAGAGTCTGTAGCCAGTGTCAGATTGCAGAGAGAAGTCAAGAAGAATGACAAGAGGCCTTTACTATGAGCCTTCATTGTATTGTACTTGATAGTCACATAGCTACAAAAGGTTACTAAATAAAATTAAGGGGTTGTGTTTATAAATGAAGATCTCATATAAAATTGTTGGCACTGCGGTCCCTGGCCTCTGACAACCTCCTGTGCAGGGGCTCAGTTCGCCTGCCCTCCATGGGAACAGCTCAGATGACCCCAAGCTTCCTTTCAGTGACTCTGTGGCTCTTTAAAGCTGAGGGAGGAGGAGGGAAATCCCTGGTTTTCAGGGCACTTCAGGGCCTGAAGCCGTTTCTGCAGTCACCACAGGGCGGGCTGCGTTTCTGAGAGGGATGTGTGTGCACTGGGGTCAGCCGGTGGAAACCTAAGCACAGTCTCTCTCTCTGTAACATGTGATGTGGGTGTCTGGCTTGGGCAGTGTGTGGGCCCGCCGTCTCCAGTACAACGGTGCTGATTGGGTGGCTCTGGGGCAGGTATTCTTACATTACAGAAATTCTCAGTGCAGTGAGGGCTGGGTAGATTTACACATTCCCTTCTTGCTGCAGATTCTATGGAGGTGAAACCCATCATGACCAGAAAGTTGCGGAGGCGACCGAATGACCCTGTCCCCATTCCAGACAAGAGGAGAAAGCCCGCACCTGATATCCGTCTGCATCAGCTTCCATTGCTTTTTTTCCCCTTAAGGCTACTGAGTCCTTCGTTTACCCCTTTGATAGAACACACGTGGTTATTGTCCTACAGGAAAGAGTCCTCAGTGGCTGCTGCTGTTAGTGGGAAGGATTTAGAGGGGGTAGTTATTGGGAAAGGTGCTTTGTGTTGGAAGCTCAGCCTGGTTTTAATACTCACTTGGAGATTCAGGGGCAACTGAAAATTCACATCTTTATTTTTTTCACCTGCAAAATGAGGATAGCGACAGTCAGCATTTTCTTCCTCGGTCATCTCTACCCCTGGATTGCACACTGTCGTTAAATTAAAGCAGACAAGTTTGGTCAGACATAAAGAAGCCCCTTTAAACCATAAAAATGGGAATGGGAACAGGGCACGTGGGGGCATATTGTTTCTGTCCCTTTTGAGGAAGTAAAGCCATTTGCAAAAAATCTTTTAGTCATTTGTCTGCCACCAGGAAAGGGCGTAACTCCAGGTCCCTTTATCTTCACAACTGAGAGTGGAAGTTGCTAGGGAAGATCAACCCTGTGTATGTATGTGAAAGTCGCTAGACCTTCAGAACAAAAGCACTTCATAAATTCAGGATGAAGTTCTTTCATTGTGTGCTGTGCTCACTATTAGTGCAGTTACCTATTGAAGCCCATTCCACCTTTGCATCATTGAAGTTTGTAAGATTGGGGGAGGGGCGGGTATGAGTCCTTTTATATACCTGGCACCACGACATTTAGTAAGAGAAACAAAAACTTCCAAGAGACAAGCTGTTATTGTAAAAATGTCATGCGGCGCGATTACATTCTGTAAACTGGAAAGCCTGGTACCACTTTGTTGAATTCTGTTTGCTTGGAAACCGTGCGTTTCATCTGCCTTTCTTTAACTCGCAACACCCCAGCTGAACTATTTGTTAACAGATGAACAGATCATGGAGGATCTGAGGACGTTAAATAAGGTACGGTTCAGTGTTTTGATTTATTTGAAAGCTTAGTAGGCTTGATACGATTTTCTGCTGTACTTTGTTCCCATATTACTGTTAAATCAATTTGATACCTTTGACATTGTAAGTTGCATCTGGAATGATTTTCTCTAAGATTTTTTTATTGTTCTTTCTACAGCTTAAGTCACCCAAGAGACCAGGTAAGTGCGTGACATTATTGGCATTTGTGAATTTTTTTATCACCTATTTGGAGAAGCATGCAAACACCTGGCAGGGGATTTTTCCGTTCTCAAATACAAAGTGTTCGTCTTTTGCCTAAAGGTAATTGTCGAGAATGCTGGAGAGAACCTTAAGTGCACCCCCGCCCGATTTTTTTAACCCTGTTATGTTAAAGCTGTTTTTGTCTTTTCCTTAGAATTTATTGTGAAAGAGACATTTGATTGATTGGCTGGTAAAGGCTTCCTTTCTGTGTGGGCTTCAGCCATAAGGTTTAAGTACACATTCATTTCTGAAAATGAAACCAGAAGGATTTGTCAGTGTTACCCTCTCTGTGGAGTTCAGTAGGAGGCGCTGCTGTTGCAGTGGCTTTTCATGGCCCGGCTCTGGCCAGGACCTTGCAGGCCACTCCCAGTCCCAGCCTGTGGGAGGGGCCAGCCCAGTTCACGGTTATTCCTTCTGGAGCAGCACTCGAGAGTCAGCGCTTGGCAGGCCCTGGGGTAGAATTCTGCACGGGCAGGGGGTGTTTTAAGCACTGTAATTACTCATACATCCCTCTATTCACCATGTCTTGGGGAAGGAAACAAGATTTTTCTTTCTTTAAATAATTTTCTCCTGAGGGCTGCTGTGGGCTACAGAGAGGGCCCGTGGGTCTAAAGGCAGGAGGAAAGGGGTTATTTGAGTAAGTGTGTGGATTTAAACCACTGTAGCTGCTAGCACTGTATTAGTTTGACTCTACACACACTCAGTAGCCTGCTCCACCTAGAAGTTACTTCGTTAACTTCTAGAAATAAATTTAAGATTTACCAAATTCTCCTCCTTTTGGGCTTCTGATGGTCACTGGGACTTTAGTTCTACTCCATGTGACCTTGGGCAGATCGCTTAGCCTGCCCGAGCCTCGGGTTCCACTTCTGCTCACCAAGGCTAATCTTGCTGACCTCACAAGTTTTCTTGAGGGTTGTTAGATGTGGCATACAAGAATTTTATTGAATTTCCATTGTTTACAACAAAAGGGCTCGATGATTGTGACTGTTAGCACCTGTTAGTAGCATTTCAGCTAAAGCACATTACTGGTGGACTCACGTTTGTCTCGTGCCCAGTCGCTGAAACGTTTCTTTGGTGTCTCCAGCCTCCCCGTCCTCTCCCGAACACTTGCCTGCCACACCTGCTGAGTCTCCAGCCCAGAGGTTTGAAGCCCGGATAGAAGACGGCAAACTGTACTATGATAAAAGATGGTACGTTGTTGGAGAAAAGCATAGGTTGGTTACTTGTAAGAGTCTCAGAACCACTTGGAGAGAGGGCTGGGCTATAGTTGTCATTTCAGAGCATGGCACCTGCTTAACTTACGTAGCATTAAAAGTGGAGTAACATGGTGGGGAGGTGGGCTGGGATGGGAGTAAAAGACAGAAAACTGTACTTGAACAATAATTAAATTTTTTTAAAAAGTGGAGTAACATTAAAATGGGTGTCAGTAGTTGTTTGGTTGTTGCTACTTGTTAGATCTCTGAAGGCAGTGTTTTCCAAAATGTGTTCTTCTGATGGTGCCCCCGCTTCCTTGCTGTGTTAGGATTTACAGACTTAAATCTTTTGTGATGCTTCTGTAGACCAGGGCCAAGGTTTATGCTCTCCTCTGTCTTCTCTTCACTCTGCCCCTGTGTGCTAAAATCAACAGGTCTTCTGTGGAGAAAAAGATTTTGTGGTTCGATGAGTTTGGGAGATAACCATGTTCATTTAGATAAATGGGTTTCCCCATTGTAGCCCTTCTTGGGTCCTCTGATGTGCTCATGTGCACTGTGAATTTCTAGGGTGTTACTAGGTGTTAGGGATTTGGTGAGGGACCCCTTTGTGTGCTCATCCAGGAACATACTTGGGGGAATTGTATTCAAAAACATTACTAGGTTAGATTGAAGAAGGGTCAAAACCTTTAGACCACCTGTATTTCCATGGGAAGAAAATGGCAAAATAGTATGAAAGAACCATAAAAGCTCATAAATGTGTTCATTTGGCAAACATTTAGTCTGCTTTGTAACTAGGCATTCGGCAAGGTATTAAGTTACCTGGATCCTGCCACCTTTTCCCAGCTGCTTTGAGATATGTCTTTACTCATTGTCCATGTGTGGCCTGTTCCTAACTCAGTTTAAGTCATGGTGGACATACATTTGCATTCTTTTGCCTTCCTGCTTGGTTATGTGCAGAATGTTTTTCTGGGTTATTGTATGCTCCCTCTAATGATTTATAATGGCTATACAATGACCTTTTGAGTTTCAGTCCATTTATTTAACCAAAGATTCCAAAATTTGACTAATGCTACTTTGACTTTTTTTGAGCTTTCTTAACAACAACAACAAAAAACCCTCACATTGTCTGTCAGTTACCTTGTAATACTGTATTCTAAAATGGACAAAAAGTGCTTAGTGACCTGAGATAAATCAGTTCCACGTCTTAGGTTACAGTGGCTAATTATCCGGTGGGTGATGAAGGCTTGCTCTATTCGTAAGCCTGGTCTTAGTGCCTTCTCTGCCCAACTTACCGAGCTGTTCTGTGGCTGCCCTGTATTTTAATGCTGCTTATGAGAGCAAATCACCACTAGGTGGCAGGCTCTAACAGCGCAACACACTGGGGGCAAAGTAAGATGAAAAATGTTTCAAATAATAAAAACCAAATAACCTTTAAAGATCAAGCCCACACATAAGAAACATCTTCAAAAATGATGAGATTTGTAACTAACATTTTTATGGATCTCGAGTCCTAAAGCCATGTGATATTTCAAATAATGTTCATTTTGTAATCGCATTGCTTTAGATCTTCCTCTTTCTGAGGCTTAATCCTTTAACTTCATGAGACGTGTCTTGGGGGTGAAAGTGCTGTAAAATAAAATTCTCATTTTTCTAAAGAGAGGACCCACCGTGGCTGGTGTTTGAGGATATGATCAGAGTGGTCAGGTTTGCTGTACCGGACCCCTTTAGCGTTTGGAAGGAATTTCACCATCTTTCTCACAATTTAAAACAATCTTTAAAATAAGGTTTTTGGGAGCATTTTACTTTTTCAGTGAATTTAAAGCTGCTTTTATTTTATTGTTAAATATCGAGGCTTTTTTCCTTCTGTATTCTGTGTGTTTCTCTTCTTTGGCCTCGGCAGTGGAAGTTCATGACACACCTGTCGAAGGGCAGGTCGGGTCCCTCCCTCCTGTATTTGGACGGTGTTCATCGGACTCCTGGCCCACACGTTTTGCCAATACAGACCCAGCCTTCCTGTCTCGCCAGCTCTGGTGTTTGCCTTTGGTGTCCTTGTCAGTTGGAGGCTGCCATTTTTCCTCCTTTTTCAGCATTCACAGCCTGTGGCTGAGAGGTCAGCCGCACCGCTTTGTGTTCTTGCCAGTAGTGTGTGGAGCATTTTGGCGAAACACGTTTCATTGAGTTTTAAATGACTTCAGCAAAATGACTGTGGTTCAGGCTTCTCATCTTGGCAGGAACACTTATCAAGCTACATTTCATTTTGAAAGATAAGCATCTTCCCTTTGCTTCGGTCTCATACTGCTTTTAAGGCATTTTATATCCTGCTGTAACTTTTCCTCACATTTTTGATTTGGACTAATGACCCTTCTTAGTACTGTGAAAGTAGCTGATATTTAAATTTAAAATAACTAACTGATGGTGCCAGCAGACTGTTTATTCTCTCCTCACGTTCTGTCTGGGGCTGCTAACGTGAGTCAGAAAAGAAGTCACCCACTTGCTCCAGTGGATTTAACCCTCTAGCCTTCTACTGGCACAAAAGACTATTAACTCAAAACAGTGAATATTTACACCTAGAATTGGGACCCCTTCAGGCTGTAACTGTGATGTGGTCTTTTCTTTTGAAGAGAAACAGTATCATCCGGACTCCCAGTAAGGCACAAAATTAAATGATTTCTACCCCCTCCCTGCCCCACTTTTTGACCCAGCTTCTACAGAAATTGCTTTCTTCCATCGTAGTAGTGGTGACTCCAGTTCATTGGGTTTAATAGCAGAGTCAAAGCTTTAAGAGCGTAATTGTAGGGATTCCCAGGTCAGAATTTCCATTAGTAATAAAGTTAGCTCGACATTTAGGGCTTGTCCTCTGAGGCTATTTAAAGTTTTTTTTTCAGCAGAGATGAGTTATATCTTATAAAATGGGTTAATTAGCAAAAAGCAATAATGTACATTTTTACTTATTTAGCTCAGTTGATGTTGCTTTTTAAACATCTTTTATGTTCTAACTGTATTTTGAAATTTTCCCTGCTCTTTTATTAGCCCTTAGAAATTGGAAGATATATTTGTATTTTAAAGTTGTCATGTACTTTTTGGCTTTGTTTTATTTTATTTTAACTTTTTAAGACTTTATTTTTTAGGGAGAGGGGAAGGGAGGGAGAAAGAGGGAGAGAAATACTGGCCTGCAACCCAGGCATGCGCTGTGACTGGGAATCGAACCCATGACCTTTGGTTTGCAGGCCAGCGTTCAATCCACTGAGCTACACCAGCCAGGGCACTTTGTGGCCTCATTTTAAAAACACCCCTTATATGAGCACTGAGGACTTAATCATATTTTGTGGTGTATAATGCACACTTTTTTTGCCCAAATTTTTGAGGGAAAAATAAAAATGCGCAATATACATGGGCATAATGATTATACACCGTGGGTGTGGCAGTGGGTGTAACAATCTCGTGTGTAATGCACACAAGGTGGGGTGTGCATTGTACACGGGAGTGCATTCTGCGTGGGGGAACACGGTGTTTTTTTCAGAGAATTCAGATAACTCATTTATTTTTTTTATTGTTTTATTTTATTCTTTATCAGAGAGAAGGGAGAAAGAGAGAAAGGGAAAGAAACATTGGTTGCTTCTTGTATGTGCCCCCATCAAGAACCGACCCTGTAACCTAGGCACGTGCTCCGGGGGTTGGCCCGAGACCTTTCACTTTGTGGGATGACAGCCGGCCCACTGAGCCCCGCCCGTCAGAGCGTGAATGCAGATGTTTTAATAGATCTGACACCCAGGGGCGATGGTTCCCCAAGGCCATAGTGTGGCCCATGAGTGTCTCCTGGAGGTTCCAGAGACTCTGCTTCAGGAACAGGTGGGAATCAGTTGGGTTGGAAGTGGGCCTCTTTGAGAAACATGCTGGCCAGCTCTCCTGTGGAACAAACAGTGACCAGTGGTGGACATTGAAGCTACCTCCATTTGGGGATCCCAGAGCCGGCACTTTGGGGAGGTGGCCAGATGCTTAATTGCCAGACTGCTTCTTAGGGGTAAGAGACGGATTGCATTGTTTGTTGCTGGTGTTCACGTCTAAGCCAGTCAGGTGCGTGGGGTTTGAACTCTGAGCACATCTGAACAAAAATGCAACACATCTCAGGAGAATTGTTTGAATACTCTCCCAGAGGTAATCGATGTCTTTAATAGGCATTAAGGTAAAATTTGTGACATTAGGTTTTCTTTCTACACTGTCTTACTTAGATATTGTCCAGTATCATGATTTGAGGAAATATTTACTTTTTAATGTAAATAGTACCTGTTAATTCTAGAAAACAGAAAGCTATGCAGTAAAAGGAATACCATTCTAAATTTACATTTCATATTTTTATAAAATTTTAATATACATTTTAACACATAAATTTTACTAGTTTTTTCTGTGTGTATATGATACATATGTAACATTCATATTTTGTTACAGATACAGGAATATAATGGGCACATTTATTTAGCAGTATATTGAGTGTGTTTCCACAGTAATAATACACTTCTGTGCCACATCAATGACCTTCCTTTATTAAAGTATTTAGAATGTAGTATCAGAATGGCTTTAGGCTAGTTGCCTGTTGTTTCGTGTTTTTTATCTATGTAATAAGTCACAATCCCTGTAGAATAACTGAGTGTTCTCTCTATATTTGTATTCTAACCCTTTAGATAGGACAGTTGAATTAGACGTGGGAGGGAAACTCAAGTCTGAGTTCTGCCGTGAACTAATTCAGCCATTCCTCATGCACTGTACAATTCCGAGCTTGCAATATTACATATTTAGCATTATTGAAGGTCCCCTAACCCAGTTTACCAACTGATCTCTGGCCAAAAGCAATTTGAAGCTGGATGTAAACCAATCTTGCCTTTCTAATTGTGTTTATGATTCGATTTTTTTAACTGTTTTCGGGAAGTAAATTGACTTGGAAACCTTAGTTTTCAGTTCCTAAGTAGCAGATTAAAGAGTGCTTAGAACCTAGATTGGAAAAAGCTGATTGTGGGAGTGAAGTACATCCTTCACCATAATGTCTTGGCAGCAGATTACTTCATTATACCAGGAGACAGTCTGCTCTCTTTTCCCACGGAAATAATGATATAAATGCAGTGCTTTGCTGGGAGATGAATTTTGGTTTTAGTGGAGTTTACATGAGTTAGTGGGTCTGTTAAATCAGATCCTTGCAGCCAGAATGAACCAAAGGTTATGTTCTTGACTGAACAGGTGCTGGCCCAGGCCAGGCCTGCCAGCAGCAGCTCAACTGGTTTCCAGCTCCTGTGATCCAGCAGCTGCTCCTTCATCCTGTGGCAGCTGTTGCTGTGCCATTTGGCTTTTCTCTGCCTTCCTCACTTTCATCCTTGGCCTTGGCCCTGAACTTATAGAAGTTGAAGGTGGTTCTGCATTATAGGCCAAGAGAATAGATAAAAGAGCTAAAGGGGCAGTGCCTGTGGTGTCTGCTCCCTTTAAAGCAGCGCCCCTGACTCACCAGGCCCCACTAGACGCTCTTTGGCGCATGTCGCGGTGCTCAGTGTCACCCAGTTCCTGTGTGCCAGGTGAGAGTGTTTCACAGCCTTCACTGCCGCTGCCTTTGAAGTTCCAAGACAGTGGGGGCTTGTGGCCTTGTTCACTGTCTGCCTCCAGCCTTCAGCGTAGTCAGTGGTGCACAGTAAGCGATTAATGAGTGTTTCTTGAATGAGTGACCAAGTTAAGGGCTGAATTTGGCCTTCTTGTTAGGGACTTATTGGGTGAATGGGAAATAAATAACAGGACAAACAGTTTTTAAGTCCTTCTGTTCATTTTTGTCTGCGCAGCCTTCTTCAGTATTCTGGGGTAAAAACAGGTTTTAGTTGAAAAATGATAATTTACTTTTTGAATTGAGTCATATAGTCCAAATAATAAAGTAAAAATAGAGTTAATTTCCTGTCCCTTTTCTTGGCCCTCCCCCTCTGTCTTTGCAGAGGAACCAGGGAATGTAAAAGGATTAGGAGGTCATCATCTAATCTGAGGATGGAAGCCTTTAAATTAAACCTGAAACTCAGACTCTTTCTCAAATACCAATGGAGACTCTTTTAATTACATTTTTTGCTGTGGTCTTCTCTTCTTTTTCCTTTACTTCCATTCCTTCCTAAAAAAAAATCTGTGCTTTTAACAATACTAAATTGTATACCTAAATTTTTTTAAGAAGGTAGATCTTATGTTGAGTGTTTTTACCCCCCAAAAACAATAATCATAATAAAGAGGACAGGTGGAAACTTTGGGAGGTGATATATACAAGGGTGGGCAAAAGCAGGTTAATAATAAATAATACAATAGTTAATAAATTATTCATAATACAAGAATAAACTGTTTCACGTGCTCACAATGTAAACCTACTTTTGCCCACTCCTGTAGGTCTGTGGCCTTGATGGTGGTATGGTTTCACAGGTGTATACTTTGTCCCCATAGCTTTGTATACATTAAGCATGTACAGTTTTTTTACATTTCAGTAGTATTTCAGTAAAGTGGTTTAAACAGTGAACTTGTATTCTGTCTTTGGCAGGTACCACAAGAGCCAGGCCATCTACCTGGAGTCCAAGGACAACCAGAAACTGAGCTGTGTGATCAGCTCTGTCGGAGCCAACGAGGTAGGGACCAAAGCCCCTCACTCTTTGGGAAAATGAAAGGCGACCCACATGCAGTGTGAGGGCCACTGAGAAAGTACAGTGGAGTCACGCGTTATGTATGGGTTGCAGTCTAAGGTCAGCACTTTCAGGCAGAAATTGCATGTGGGCAAAATCGCCTTTGAAAATCCCTCACTCTGCTTGACCGCGGCATATGCGGGTTTGTGTATTCCTTGTATCTGTGCACTCCCTGTACAGTGATTGCATTGGGAACCACTGGCTAGACAACGGGAAAGAACAAAAGGCAAGTCTGTTTGGTATCTGTGCTTCCAAATTCTACTGTTTTTTTAAGGTAACCAGCTACTGAGAATGGAACCTGCCTGTGGAGTACACTCCCTCTCTGTTACTTCTCTAGAACTTTCTCGTGTACTAATAGGTTTGTTTCATGCTGTTGAGGTTTGCATTAAGGCACCTGGCACAGGGTCTGGCACACAGTAAGTGCTCGATAAATGGGGCTGGCCCAGTCTGGCCCACACACTGCTCCTCGCCTGCTGCCCTCCCAGTCTGACACGCCCTGTGTTGCCCCTGAACACTGAGCTTCCAGGCTCATGCCCTCAGTTGTTGGGTTCCTCCAGTCACTGCTGAGCGGTGGGGCCTGGGTTGTACAGTCAGCTCAGAGGGGTGTGCTCAAGGGCGGCATGGCCCACCTGTGAGTTCTCTGACTGGCCCTTCCTTGGGAGGCTGTCAGCAGAGTGTGACCTGTATTGTTAGTAGTATAAAAAAAAAAAGTTTAGAACTTTAATGTCTGGATTGGCTTGATTTTTTTTTATCAGTCCAAAAATGTCTGCAGTGAAATTGATTATTGCGTGTCTGCCCTCTAACTTATTTGTGCCAGTGCACAGTAAATCGAATGAAACCGGATTACGGAATGACTGAAGCCTCTTCTATTCCCCCAGCTTCCTGAATTGAAAATGTGACTTAAATGTGACTAGTTTGCAAAATGATTGTTTCCTTAACGGTTAGGGAGAGCCTTCCAGGTAAACGAATGTCATTCTTCTCTGTGCTCAGGATCTGTGTGTCGCCTTAAGCCAAGTCCAAGCCAGAGCAGGGGACCTCATAGAGACGCTTGCTGCTTCCCAGCAAGAAGTGTTGTGATCTCACAGAAGAGCTTTGGTGCCTGGCTGTGCGGGGTGCTGCACAAAGCGCGTGTTGCCCTCTGGTACCTGAACCTAACTTCAGATCCATTGCACTGTTCTCCCTGACACCTCAAGACTTTTCAGGAAACCAGAAATGCAAGCTGGGTTTTTCTGTTTCTCTGTTGAAGAGAGTTGCCTTTTGACGCAGTAGAGTGTCAACGAGGTCTGACAAGGAAACAGTGGCACTGAGACATGTCCCCTGGAGGGGAGACACCTCACTGCATCAGAGGCATGCAACTCTGGTAACAGGAAACTTTCTCACTTTTTGGAGGTCTTCCAGCTCATTTTTCAGGTCACATCCTAAGTGACGCTGGAGCTATTTGGCCTTTGCATAACTTGATCCTGGGCAGAATTGGTGGGTGCATCTGAGCGTGTTGGTGACTTCCCAGTTCAGCCCTCCTGGAGGTCGGTTTGTACTTGAAAATGGTTCTACAAGGTCCTTTGGAGGTTCAGCTTCATGTGAGGTCTCTATTTTTAAACCAGAGTATATTAGACTTCAAAGTTTCTCTGTTGCTAAATAATCACAATAAAGAAATTGAGATGAAACTGAGAATAAGCATTTTTTAAAAGCTGAAAACTCAGTGGGGGGGAGAAGATAGATTTGTAAACTTGTACTTGGATATATGTGTTGCAGATTTTTTAAAAAAATATTATGTTGATTAAAAACATGAGAGAATTGATGAGAAGAATCAGGGCCTGGTTTAATGCAGGGGAGCAAAGGCTTTGATGTCAGGCACCAGGGCTTACACTGGACACGCGACTCAGCCTTGCTCTTCTGTAAAAGGGGGGCAATGCTAACACTTCATGGTGGGCACGGGGTGGGGAACTGTGAGGATGAGGTGGTGCAGCTTGATCAGCATAGTGTCTGGCACACAGTAGGCCCTTGCTCAGGTGTGACAGCTCTCCTTCTCATTCCTGGCTGCAGGGGTGCCCCTTATTGAGCGCAGTGGTCAGCTCTGGCAGTCCGCCTGCTGCTGAAGTTCATTCTCAGTTCTACGGAAGGATGTGTCTGCCTGTCAAATGCAAGGCGTGACTCCCTCTGTGGGAGAACACTATGGTCAGGAGGGAAGGCCTGTCTGAAGCTAATTTAACATTTGCATGATCCTAATTGGGCCTTATTTCACTCAGGGGCATCTTTTTTTGTTATTATTTTTTCCTGTCACAACTATTATCCTTAATTATCAGAAAACCAGTATTGAAAGGTTATAATATTAAAGTCCCTTGAGGTAAGGGAAATATTTCGTATATGTATCTTGAATGTTGGTAATACTGTAGTCAAACCAAATCTAAAAAGTAGAACCCAATATTTTTGTGCTTCCCATTTAAATTTATTTATTTATTTATTTTCAGAGAGGGGGGGCAGGGAAAGAGAAACGGAGAGAAACATCGATCTGCCTGAGAAACATCTATGGGGTTGCCTCTCGCATGCTCCCAAATGGGGATCTGGCCTGCAACCCAGGCATGTGCCCTGGCTGGAAACTGGCCTTTTAGTTCACAGGATGGTGCTCGATCCACTGAGCCACACCAGTCAGGGCTCTTTCCGTTTTCTTTGTCAGAAATGTGAGAGAGATGGCGGGGAGAAATGAGATCAAGGGCCGATGCCTGCTGTCTACACTAGGGGTGTGCCTTTAGGAGGGCCAGAGGTCAAGGACGTACTTCCCAAGGCCTCTCAGGTTGACGGGAGGAGGTTGCCAGTTTTCTGCCTACACATAACTTACGCAAAGATTTTCATGCTCTGGAAGACTTCCTCCTCAGTCTTAGCCTCTTTCACCTTGTTCCCTTCCCTTCTCCCCTGCAGATCTGGGTGAGAAAGACAAGCGACAGCACCAAGATGAGGATTTACTTGGGCCAGCTTCAGCGTGGGCTCTTCGTGATCCGCCGGAGGTCAGCGGCTTGACTTTCTACAGTGCTCGCCTTCCCTTGACCTTTTTTCTGGAGTGGTTTTTGGTTTTTGGTTTTGTTTTGTTTTCTTTTCTTTTTGATAGAAAGTTTTTAACTTGGGAGTTGCTCCTTGGCCTTGGAAAATGGAGAGCACTGTTGTGGATTCTGCAAGGCACTCTCGTGGCCCGTCACTCCCACCTTTGTTTCATTCTTGCTGCCTCGACTTCCTCCAGCCAGCAGTCAGGAGACGATTTTACTTTCAGGAGTGTCGGGAGTTTGATTTACTCACTTGGTTTTTATTTTTGTTTTTTGTTTTCCTCCAAAGCTTCCTTTGAGTTTGAAGGCGCATTTCTTTTTATTATCTTTAGGTCTTTCTACCCTGAAGAAGAGCGGGAAGGGGTACACTCTACAGTGCATTTTCATGCGTTGAGTCTGATTAGTGTGTCACATAGCTACTTCCCTTGTCGAGCCCAATTTGCTGTTTCCGCAGCAGCTCGGGGGAGAGGTCCTAGCAGAAGGAGATTAATTCTCCTGGCTCTCAGCTTGCTCAGAGAAGTAAACGCCTCGTGTAACATCTGGCACATGCCATCCTCCCCCCTGGCTGAACGACAGAAGCATTTGCCTCGGGGACTACGTGCACTGAAGTAATTGGGGCTGCGGGGAGGGGGTGTTTCATATTCATAATGTGCCGAAGGTACCATATTTTAAATGTTATTTAATGCAAGTGGTTTATTCACACACCATTGTTCAAGCTCAAGCTGGAACAGGAAGTGGTCATTTCAGATGGTTTCATTTGTAATTCATTTCCCCTGTTCCAGAGTGGGTGAAGTGGTACCTGCCACAGGCTGATTATCTGGGTTATCTGTTGAAGGTGGGGAAGCGAGGTAGATAGTGCAATAACCAGTGATCTATAGACTCTCGCTCATAATTCAAATCGCACTCTCGTCACCGATGCCATTATCGTGCATTGGCCATTTCAAACCAGTGGAACCCTGTCGGCGCTCGCAGCCTCCAGGAGATCTCCCAGGAGGTCTGGCCCAGGGCGAAGACGGAAGGCTGTGCCGTGGCTGCCACTGAACCTGCACTCTTACTCATGGGTCCTGATGAGACAGCCTCCCCTGCACTCCCTGCCTCCTTTCCCTCATTCCTACAACTAGAGACGTGAGTCGTTGGGTGATGGGGTTTTTTATATAGTAGTTGCCACCTTATGATGCTTACAAAGTTTTGGGGGTTAGAGCAACTGTTAGCATCTCTGTAGGCAATCAGTAGACTTTATACATCCTGGGAAACCTTTGTAAATAACTTCTTTGGTCTCAAGTGATCCCCCCGTGTTGTCTCTTGATCTGCACACCTCAAAGCAAGTTGTGGGGCCGCGATGACAAGTCAGTCACCTTCTCCAAAGTCCTGGCTTCGACGGAGACCAAACCCTACAGACGCAGAGTAAAGACTTGTGAAGATTTATTTTTGTTTTAATTTAAAGTTGATTTTTTTCTTCCTTTTCCTTTTTTCTTTTTGGTGTTGGGGTCTCATTGAAAAACAGGATAAACAATGCTGTTCATCAAACATTGTCTGGACCCTCTGTGTTAGCTCTGCCCCCCAACCCCATTGTTAGGATGCTGACTACAGTGGACCCAGTCCATGGTGAACAGGGACTTCACCTTTTGTTTCTTGGTGGCCTTTGCTCTTTGGGGATCTCTCGCTTGCATTGTCACCATGGTATGTGTGACATTGTATGATATCAGGTAGCTGTTGGTTGTTATCCAGCGCCCTGTGATAGAAATCCTTTAGGTATATTTAGTGTGTGTTGCCACTGAAGCTTTGTTTGTTTGTTTATTTTTGTCCTCCTAAAGTACACCAAAGTTTGTTGTTTTTTTGTGTGTGAAAAGATTGTATTGATAACTGTTGAGGGTTTAGCAGTGAGGCAGCAAGTTGCCATTTTTCCTTGCCTAGTCTGATGGCTCCTTTGTCTTTTGTGAACTAACTTTATTTGAAGAGCAGGGTCTGGCACTTTGGCCTCTTCTATAAAGTTGCGGGTGTTTGAGGCCACAGTTAGGCACGGCGTCTGTCCCATCACTGCCTTCTGTGCTTCCGTGTCCGCACAGCTGGTAAAATTATGATCTGGGGAAATGGAGGGAAATGTGACGTGGCTGTGGGGCCCGGCACCGTGAATTATAGTCCTGACCCCGGGTATTTATTAGTTTTTTAATGTGATCACTCCAGAGATGAGAAAAATCAGCATTTTAGCCACTCAGGCCCCCTCCTTAGGAGATGGAGGAGCTTTTGTGATTGGCAGCGTGACCTAGAGGGAGAAACAGACTTCATGGTTCCTGGAATAAGAGGGGCCAGCTTTTAGCCCAGGTGGCCATTCTTATTCCAAAAGGTCTGTCTCTCACTAGATGAATTCCCAAATTCCAGCTGTTTCCTGCAAGTGGTACTTTAATAAAGGTCGGTCCAGACAATTCTGATCATGAACCTGTATGTGTGTCATTCTGATTGAGAAGCTGTATGTTTGTGGTTCTGCTCGAGAACCTGCATGTGTGTTATTCTGATGGAAGAACCTGTAGGCGCATTTGGCTCACGGCATCTGCCTCAAGTACACAGTGTTTGCTGTTGGTGTGTCCCAGTATTTATTTTACCTCTTCTCGGAGGTTTTGTGTATTTCCCCAACTCCCTCTCTCCCTAAGCCAGTGTCCTCTTGAACAGTTTCTGTATTACTGTAGCCGAACCAAAGCCGGGATATTTTTATTTGTCCGGATACTAGTATTTATGGATGTCTAACTACCTAATGTAACTTAGTTAGGAAACAACAACAGACTTCTAACTGGGGCTGGTGCGAGATACCAGAGGCTGATCTGCAAATCGAGCTACTCACATTTGTGTGGGAGATGCTGTGTTCAGGATTGGGTGACTTTTCTAAGAAATACGGGGGAGGGTTGGTTGCATTTTTAATCTAACTTGGGGGAAAAGCCTATTTTTTACAATGTTGTTGGTTTTGTTTTCTATTAACATTTCTTTTAGCCTTGAATTTTTACTAAATTTCATCCTGATTTAAAATCTTGTTTCTAATCTGGGAATTTGAAATCTTGGTACTTACTTAAATGTTACACCAATTTTTCCAGAATTCAAACCACTTTAATATCAGAACATGGTTTTAAAAAATTACAGCCATTTCAAGCAGCTGGTAGGCTTTTTATACAATAACATCATTAACTGGTACCGTTAAATGTTCTGAGAGGTGAATGTAAAATGTAAGAAGTACAGCTTTTTAAAAAAAAAAAACAACAATAAACTTTCAAAGAGAGAACCAACATGTAGTCTGTGTTATGTCCATCGACTTGATAAATGATTGAAATTTATTTCACGTTTTTCCTCCATTGACAGTGGGGAAGGGATTTGGGAGGAGGGAGAAGTGTGCTAGACATTTGCTCGTTGTTTTTTTTTTTAAGAGATAAGGAGTGATGTCAAAGACTAACTCTCAGTTTTATGAAGAGCAGTCTAGGGGTGCTGACCCTTAAATAAAGTGTCCTCTCCTTGTGGGAGAGTCTTAAATGATCTGATTAAAAATTGAGTAAATAAAATTAACCTTAGATAGAAAACTATGTATTCCCAATTACTGTGTATGGGTGCGAAAATGGGATAGGGAAAAAAATGGATTCATTTGAAAGATGGCGCTGGAGGAGAGCTCTGTGAATACCGGGGCAGCCAGAAAGATGAACGAACGAGTGAGTCCTAGAGCCAATTAAGCCTGAAACATCGCCGGAGGCAAAAATGACAAAACTGAAGCTGTCCTACTTCGGCATGTCTCGAGAAGGCAGAGTTCTTTGGAAGAGACAGTGATGCTGGGGAAAATAGAAGCCAGCAGGAAAAGAGGAAGACCAAATATGAGATGGACGAATTCCATGAAAGAAGCCATAATTGGGAGTCTGCAGGAGCTGAGCAGAGCTGTGGAAGACAGCACATTGAGGACATCCCTCGTGCATAGGGTCACCAGGAGTGTGGCCGACTCAACCGCATGTAACCCAGGAGGAACCTCGTGGTAACCTTGTGTGATCCTGGGAGGGTGCTGTTTGCACGGTGCTCTAGGGCAGTGTCTCCCAGCCTTTCCAAAAAGCCATAGTATCCCCACAGCTCCCGTGGGGTAAACCAAGGAGGTTGCTTGCTGCCCCAGGTGACTGGCCTGTTGTGCTTGTAACCCGGTTGCAGCACACTCATTGGCAAGGACTGCTTTTATGCTTTGAACGATGGAGAGGGGAGGTCACTATTTAAAATTTTTCATTGTAATATAACATGCAGAAAAGTGCACAGTTCTTAACTGCAGAAGTTGAGTTTTCTCAAAAAAGAAATAGCACATCAGCTTTCTTTGGGTTACCTCTCCTTGCTTAGGGTAACTGCTCATCTGAGTAGTTTTTCTCCGTTTTAATCACTTTAGCCTTCAAGCTCTTGAGCTGCTGGGTCCTTCCATACTTGTACTACAAGAGCCAAGTCCCTGGTGTAGACTAGGGCATGTGAGAGCTGGGAGTAAAGGATGTGGCTGAATGGGCGAGTCCTGTGGTTTTCAAGCAAGTGGGACTTGCCCTTGACGTCAGTATCTGCCTTTTGTGGAGCACTTGGTATATGTTTGACCCTACTAAATCCTTCCTAGGAGGCATTTTCCCAATCTGTACAGTAAACTGAAAAAAGTTCTAACAATCCCAAACTATTAATAAGGCTGACTTATTAATAATCAACCCAAGACTTAATTTTATGGAACCCAGAGCTCAGCAGTGTGCGTAGTCATAGGAAGTGCTCTGAGACTGTTAGCCGTTGAATGGTGTTAGTGCAAAGGTCGTGCAAAGAAAGGCACCTGGTTAATAGTGCCAGTTGCAGGCATGGTGCCCTTCAGTTGCATTTTCTCATTTAAAACCTTGTAACAACCCTGGAGACAGTATTCTCACCAGTTTTCAGAGAAGACAACAGACTCTTAGTCACAGAAGTGGCTCAGTAACTTAAACTCACTAAACGGCTGAGTCCAGAATTTTCCTAGTCTCAGCCAGCTTCCCTCTAACCACTACCTTCTCTGGTCCCTTCCCCAAACTCCTAATGTTGGAAATAACAATCAACATTTTCACCTCTTTCTTCAGTGTTTCCCTGGGATTTGTGTTTTTTTTTTTTTCTAATCTGTTTTCACCTCTTGTACACACAGAGCAAATTCTAGAACATTTAAAAAACATTATTGGCTAGGACCCCTTCTCCTGCTGCATAACTGGGTTTTCCCCTGAGCAGGAGTGTTGAAAGTCATAGTTATTGGCCAAGAGGTTGCTTTCCTTCGAAAAGGCATGAGTGTAACGTCTAAAAAGGAAGGAACTGTTTGGAGTGTGAAGAGTAATTGGTTTTGATGAAGCCCACTTTATCCAATAAGCAACGAGGGAGCCTCTGGAGGAAGTGTGTCTGTAGATTCCCAGATCGCTTTTCTCTTGTCATCCATGAAGTAAGGAGGAGGCTAGGAGCCACTGAACGGGTTTCTAAACATAAATGGAGAGCTGGATGTCCTACACATTGCAGCTCTTCGGATGTCAGGGGACCTTTTCATCTCACGTCCTACAGTGGAGTCACCGACTAGAACACACCATTCATTCTGTGTCACCTGCTTCGAACTGCCAGCTTGGCTCCAACTGGCAGCCTGCATCTGCAGTCTCTGGCAGAGGAAGGCATGAAGCCAGCCCCAAGCCCTATGTTTAGTAAAGCTGTAAGCACCTATCCTGCTTTTAAAAACAAGGCACTGGATGGAATGAACTAGAAACATGGGCACCAGCTCACCGTCTTTGGTCATAATAGCATGCTAAGAAATACATTAACTCTGGGAAATTTAGCGTTAACACAAATAGATATTTTTGTGAATAACTGATTGTTAAGACAAAAAGATATATGCAGTATGTTTAGGAGAATGTCCTAGGAGGGTAAGGTAAGATAGACCATAGGTACCTAGGTAGTTAATCCCTCTACCAATTTTCTCTAATCTGTATTTGCTCAATTCGCTGAAAGATACAGATCTAGAAAATAACAAAATTCACTTTGCTGATGGGGGAAGACCAATAATCCGAATCTTAAAGGTTCTCTTTGCTCAAAAGTGGAGACTCAGCAGAGTGTTCTAGTTTTCTGGAGGCTGAAGCTGGTCTCTGTACGCCGATGGCCTGGATGGGCAAGGGGTTCAAAGTAGGTGATGTCCCAGATTCACTAGGGAAGCAGTGCCCGCAGGGAACAGGCAGGGACCGAGCACAGTGGCCCAGGGTTGGCAGGCCCCTGCATATCATCAAGAATCACTTTTATTTCACCAAGATTCTTTGAGTAAGTATTTGAGCATTGGCTGAGATGCAGTGTGGCAAGGCAAAGGCCTTAAAATCTGACTTTGCTGCTTTACTAATTGTGTTACCTTGGGCAACTGAACCTCAGTGTCTGTGGGGCAGCTCTGTCCTGCAGAGCTCCCCCCCGCTGTCGCGGATGACATAAATCTACCAAGACATGATCTGTGTGGGAACGAAAGGCTGACCAGTCTCGCAGAGGAGAAAGGTCTCGAGCCTCTTTCTCAATGGCCTTTTATTGAGTTTAGCTTGCATAGGGCTGCGTATCAGAGAAGGGAGGTATGGTTTACAGATAACATTTCTGGGATCATGGGGGTCCTTTTGAGTCAGGGTCTAGTAGATGGGGTGACACCAGTCGGCTGTAAAACCTTGGGAAACAAATATTTTGTGCTTGGACCCTTAACATTTAAATTGAGGACATTCTTAGCAAAGCAGGTTTCAGAGGATTTAATGCATTCTTTCTTAGGCCTGATCATCCCTCCCCATCCCCATCCCCACCCCCCCCCCCACCCCACCTCCATCAGGAACCACGAGTTCCAGCACAGGGCTGCACCCCCCTTCAGCATTGTTTCAGGCCTGAAGCAGGTAGGGGAAGCAAGGCAGCCAAGCAATTAGGAGACTTTTTACAGATGGACTGAGGACTCAGGCTATGATAAAGCCGAGGGGTGAGGGTCTTTTGTCCCTCCTGCATAATCTCCTAAATCCTTCCCTGATGACTTCACAACTGTGCCTGTTTTGGTTCGTTCCTTCCTTGAGGAATCTTACCCATCATTGACTAGCCAGCCATCCTCCAGGGGCCAACCAGGGTGAAGTAAAGGGGGCAGAGGCTGCACCCCTGCTGGGAGGATAACATTTGTCTCAGTGGCTTATGGTCCCAAGGTCCCCTAGTCCTGGGTCCTTTTCACCTGTCAGTGGGGTTACAGCTCCTGAAACTGGGCAGGATGGTTCCCAACAAGTGTCTCCATCTGTTAATTAATAGTATCTACCTCAGAGAGTAGTTTTGAGAATTCTAATACTATTAACATACAGCATGATGTGCTAAGGGTTCTATACACCACAGACGTGCACATACTATACACTTAGCCTTTAAATTACCCAATGAGGTACAATTATCACCCTCTTTTTGTAGTTAAGGAAATTAAGAGACAGGTTAAGTAACTTGCTCAAGATCACACAGTCAGTAAATGGCCAGCCAGGATTCTAAGTCTAAGCCAGGGGTGTCAAACTCATTTTCATCGGTGTCCACATCAGTCTTGTGGTTGCCTTCAGAGGGCCAAATATTATCTTAGGACTATATAAATGTAACAACTCCTTAACTAGGAGTAAGGAGCTCTACATTTGGCCCTTCGAAGGCAACCACAAGACTGATGTGGACACCGATGAAAACAAGTTTGACACCCCTGGTCAAGGCGGTGTCCAGAGCCCCTGCTCTCATTCACCACGCTGCACTGTGAGATTATACACAGCACAGGACTGCTCACAGGTAGTGCCCCGTCTTTAGAGACTGGCCCTTCTGTTGACAGTGCTGCTGCCATCTGACTGCTTCCTGTCTTCAGATTGTTAGGCTGAGTGTCAAATCCGGAGACCAGGACAGTTTCGGGAAGCTAGTTCAGTGCAAATGGACAATGAAGGTAAAGCGGCTGGCTTAGGAGATCGTGCTTGAGCATCAACTCTAACGAATAGGTTGTGAGTGCTCAGTGTGCTGGGCTGAGAAGGATTCTGAGGCCCCAGTTCAGATAGAGTGGGGTGGGGTGGCCTAGTGACATTTGCCATGGGCCAGGGAACCCATTTACTTGCCATCCTTGATTTAACTTGACCCCTTATTTTGAAGATGAAAACCGAGGCCCAGACATATGAAACGGCTTTCCCAGGGTCACGTGGTTAGCTCCAGGCAGGCCATGGCTGGAGCACCAGTTGGGACAGTCATTTGAGTACCGACTGGCATTGGACTCTGTGCTGGA